GATTGTCCTGTACTTGAGGGGAAATATGACTTAGTCCAGTGGGTTCCAACGCGGACGATATCCCTGCTCGGTGTAGTGTGGCCTAGTATTGATCCTGTAGCATCGAATTGATATGATCAGGGGAAAACTTGGAGTACTCGTCTCGGCTGCTTCTTCGTTTAGATGTAGATGCAGTACGATAGGCAAAGTTAGAAGCAAGTGAAATCTCTTCGAGAAGTTGACTCTTGACCTTTCCGAAATCTATTTTAGTTAGGGACGTTGAAGCGGGAGATGCCCGTTCTGCTTACAGGACATCTTCCGAGCCAGACACGCTTGTATCAAATTAGTCCTATACTTTCGACGGATCCTTTTGTGATGCAGCTTCTAACATTCAATGTTGGACATAATGCACTTAGGCCCTGGGTACTTAGGTACCAAGATCCATAGCTTGGAAGATTCGATTGAAATTTCCAATTGTTGGGAGAGATCTGTGCGGCTGTGCCTACCCTGTAGTTACCTAGTAGTGGGGCTACGAAGCACAGTGGTCCCCTCACACACTACATCTATGGATCCTTAGATGGATCCCTGCACCTGTCCCTGTCAGCCCAGGCCCAGCCCGTCGTTGCATCCACTATCCGATGGTGGACCGCCCCCCTAGGTACCTAGGTACTGGAGTCTGATAACAACGAACCTCCCCCCTCCAGCTACCACGTATTGACCTACCTACCTACCCACTAAGGTCCCTACCTGTTGCTCTCTAGTTAACAAAACTTCATCTTTATCTTGCCTTGCAAATACGCTTCCCACTTTCCACTCCCTATCACACAAAATAAAGTCTTCTGCACGTTCTACGAAACCATATTTCGCAATGTCGCAATCAATTCAAGACAAGAGACGCCAGCTGATCGACAACATCGATGCATATGTCGATTCCCTTCATGGAAAGGCACTGTCCGGTTTTGTCGAGGAGACTGGCATGGCTAATCTCAACGTCAAGTATCATGGCATTGACGTCGACAGCGGAACGCCTAATGATGGAGGTCCAAAGTTTCTAGATCTGAACTCAGTTAAGGAAATGAAGGAGTTGGCCGCCAAACAAGGAAATCTAGAGCAAATCTCCTCTCAGTCAAGCCGACATCCCTACAATTTGGACGCTGCGGAGAAACTGGGAGTTGTTTATGACGGTTGGCACGAGTCAATTCAACCTGTACCCGGGGAGAAGCAGAGGGAGCCTCCGCTATGGAAAAAATTGACGTGAGAGATCGTTGCAAAACGACACCTATGTGGACGAATGGACTAATGTAAAACTTAGTGGTGATCATTATCAGTATAAAACAGACGAGCTCGTGTGGCGAAGCATATTTACCCTACGTGTTCGCGACCATTCTCGGCCAGATACCGTGTGCTTCCTCGCAAACAAGGACCTATTCAAGGATAACCAACTCTTTGTCAGCGAGCTCACATGCATCTTGGGGAAGGCCAAGTACGGATTGGCACATCACGAAGACGGCAAACATCTCATAGTCCCTGTGAGTTGAAACCCCTTAGCTCTATACTATATATGACTTATGCAACTCAAGGTTACCGTCGTGTCAGCTGCGGGCAGACTGGCCAGAATTGTTCAAGGCTATGTTGACCCCAACACGTTCGAAATTATGGTGCGGGTGTCGGAAATCGTCGACATCGACAGAACAGACGAGGAAAATAAGGAGGCAATCCTGAAGGTCGGTTGTTGGTTGTTTGGCACTCCATCTGAGGAGACTACTTCCTAGTTAGACTGCGATTCTCCTGAGGCCGAGTATGAGACATAGCCCATACAAGCGCGAATATGTTAGCTAGATTGCAAGATACACCGGGTTAGCTGCCTGAAGAAATTGACACCTCATTGTTGGCATAAGTATTACAAAATACGTTCCTAGGTACCTGGTACATAAACAATTAGGGGTAGGGTGCGGATCTTAACCCTGTCTGAGTTTAAGTGCGAGAAGTTCCATCTCCTCATCCTTATCCAAATATGTACTTGTAGCCATGAAAATCCCTGTGCTTTTCTTACGTCTCTGTAGCGGAAAGTATTCTATGATGGCAGTTTGATGATTTACTACAAAATGGCGCTATCAAGGTTCATCTCCATTCTCTAAGCGTTTGACATGTGACGCGCTTTCTTCAGAGATGAAGCCGGAGTTAGCGCCCAAGCTTTACCGTCGGGGTGTATGACTAGAATTCTATTTTCTATCATGCAATCTCATCTTCGGCGACGTGAGGGAAGAGGTGGGAGGAGAACCGGGTGACCTTGTCGCCCAGGGGATCCGCTCCTAGCCCCCTAACCGCCCACCATACGGTCATTCTCTACTTAGGTACCCAGGTATTCAGAATTAACCAGCTGATGCCACTTTAATCGCTTAGCGTGTCTACGCAACGTAGTCGTGGGGGGGGGCAGAATGAATATCTCTCAAAGCTGCCCGGGTTCCTAGTATCTAATCACACCACATCGATAATTTCGGTCCAACACCTCTTAGCACGCCAACGATGTCTTTCAGGATGCTCCGGATAGCCGTTTCGCAATGCTACCTCGGCCCTAATGCCAACTCCTACTACTTTCGTCTAGCTACAGCTGCATGATATGAAGGGCTTCATACCGCAACCATCCATGTAAGCTTACAAGCTGATATATTCTCTGCGGGTCCTCTATGATAGGTACTCTGCAATACTACACACGAACTGAGACTCCGTATTCCATAGGTATCTAAGAAAGTAGGCAGGTTGGTCTCTTTTCGTCGTCGGTCTCCAACCTGCCAGGAGGAAGCCGACAAGAACCTGACGCAGAAGCACCTTGCATACGTGGCTTATTCGGAGCACATATGGAAGTCCATTCAATCGGTCATCACTCCACTTCTAGGCAATACCGAGGGTGTCCACCCGCTAGCTATGCACTGTCATGTCGAAGGAAGGTAGTAAGTAGCTCTAGTTATAGCAAGCTGGAGCAAGTCCAACAGAGAAAGCAGCGGTATCAATGAATCTAGAGAGAGCTGAACCTCTGACTATTGAAGGCGCCAATTGCGGTGATCACAAGGAGTATGTCCTCCTAGGTACCTAAGCAGCAATTCCCACTTCATCTCGGCTTACATAGGTACATACCTAGGTAGGTCCCTATAAATACCTTAGTGTTTGGACCCTGGCGGTGTGTCTTCGTTTGTCTTCGTTATATCTAAGTTCTATATCCTAGCACTATCAGTCACGTCGACAGGAATCTACTTTTGTCAAAACTTACTAACATGTCTGCGACTACGATAACCTCGCTACCCAGCACTCTTTGCTGCCTCTACTACCATCTTTGAACACCGTTATACCTCAGCTGAGATAAAGTCCGCATCCAAGGCGGGTGACCAGCAATACGTCGATTCCCATACCATTTGGAAATCCCCTATAGCTCCATTTGATCGTTCAGGCGCTCCCATTTCCAGTCTCATCGTTCCCGAGAAATACCTTGAGGAAGCTCGGAAAATGGCGAAAGAACTTCCTTCTTTGTTAGCTTACTTGGATTGGGTCAAAAAACATCCTAACAAAGTTCCAATGGGCACTAATGCTGATTCTTTGGGCCAATTTGTTCTCGTTCTCCAAAGCCAACAATACACAAATAGTATGAGCGACAGTGCAGATGGCCCAAGCAAAACCAACTTCAGCCCCACCATGACTAGGAGTCGGGCACGTGCGCTTCAGTCTCGACCCAAGACTCCAGTTACGCCAACCCCTTCGCGTTCCGGTTGGGGGGGACGTGAGAGGTCGGTGGAGGATGTTGATATGGATGAAGGCGATGATGAGGATATCAATATGGAGGATCAGGGAAGAGACGACGACACCTTCCTCGTGGGCTCGTCCCCGCCTGAGGTTGACCAAGATTCGCCCATGACCGGCGAGGCTGCAAGACTGGAAGGTACTGTGAGGAGCGAACAAGAGGTAATTATCTGCCTCATCAACTTCCTCAGGGCCATGCGCAACACAGACGAAAAATTGGAGCGTGTGTCGTGGCATGCGGATCAACAACAGTACGCAGTCAAGGACAGGCACGGCAATTTGGTGTTCAACGCCGTTGTGGATGGGGTCATGCGTATTCAGGGGAGCGATGTGAGACCGGTATTTCTTGAGACCAAACGAGGGTTTCGCTACGCCAAGCCCGACGGCGCACCTATCAAAGTGCAGGAGTCGGGCCAGTTCTTCGCATATGTTGCCAATATCCACAAAGATAGCATCGACAAACTACGGGAGCGTAAAGAAGATGGAAGGTATGATGACACACTTATCCGAGCCAAGAATTGACGTTACTAATGTGCAACCTGTTTAGCGTACTTTGGATTTCTATGTGCAAGAATGAGACCCGTTTCATTATAGGGAAGTTCTCCCCAGATTGGGCTGACATGACGGCCGACCGGGACGCCAAATTCTCCTTGTCGGAGGCGACTGAGATTGGCCCCTACAAACATTATGATCGAGACTCTGTGTATGAGCTTGGAATCATCTTTCTAGCCATCAATCTTGAAAAGAATGATAAATTTTGATTTCCTGACGTCGTTGGAACCATACCACCAAGCGCGGGTCTTAGATATTTGCGGTGGGACAGCGAAGGGGGAAGGAGGTCGTGATAGGCAACAGCAGTTCCGCAGAAGAAGATTCCGATACATACCTATTCTAGTCGCTCTTTACATAATTTCGTTTCGGTCGTTCTTTAAATAGGTACGTATTTATAGGAAGTTATACATGACAAGGCTTGCTGCAGATTCTACCCGCATGTGAACCTGTTCAGGTACTTACTTAGGTACTTAACCTCTGGTTGATAGAACAATGTAGATAAGGGGGGTCGGCAAAATCTAATTAACCCTTATGATCTTGTACTACCAAATCCTAAGGAAAAACCAAGGAGCTTACGTCAAGTTGTTCTTGATGTTGTTGTACCGACTCGTGGGGTAGCTGAGGAGGTTTTGCGTCTCGTCGAAGATTCCCGCCCTTCCCTGGCCACTGAACGAGGCGGCGACCAAACTTCCGTTGCCGGGCCGGTCGCCTGACGCCTCCCAGAACATCGCGCCGCCGAGACCCCTGTTCTGCAGGTACGAAACTTTGTTCTTGACCATCTCGGCAGTATCATAGCTGATCAGCTCCTCGGAGACGCCGTCGTAACTATAAGTGGCGCCGGCGTCTGCGTCGTGTATCTCAGCCGACCCCTCGCGCGGGAGCGCCTTGTAGTCCCAGACGCCCTGCTCCCAGGATCCCCGGCCGACGCCCGAATACGATCCTCCGAGACCGTGACTGGCAGCCTCAAAGGAACGGCCGTATAGAGGCATCCCGAGCACGATCTTTCCAGCCGGGACGCCGGCGCTGATGTAGCTTTCGATGGCAGCATCGGTCGAGTAAGGCGTGGACGTCGGGTTGTCGGGGTTCGGGTACAGGTTTGCCTGGTGGCCGCAGGTCGCGTCCCAGGCGCCTGCGTAATCATACTACAGCCATACGAGTCAGTCATGCCCTCTTTCGGCAAAGGATTTTTGGAGTGGTCGTAAAGGTTATCGAGCAAGAAACCAAGGCGTGGACATGAAACAAAAGGTACAAACTGTTTTAAAAATTGCATACAGCCATTAGATTAAAGTGATCGAGCAGACCTGCCATCTGGCCTAGCTTCATCTTGTTGTAGTTCTGAGGACCGGCGGGAACGGCGGCCGTGAGGAGGAAGTGGTAGCCGCCGGCGTGCCGAGCGGCATACGCGTCAAGCTCGCTTCGCACGGTCTGCAACAGAGTAACCATGTTGTCGGCTTGGACCTCGTCGGCTGGGTATTCCCAGTCGATGTCGAGGCCGTCAAAGCCCCAATCCTTCATCAACGTCACGGCAGACTTTGCGAAGGTAGACCTAGTTGTCAGGGTGCTAGCGGCCTTGGCAAAATTGACCGAGAATGTCCAGCCCCCAATGCTTAACAGTACCTTAAGGTGTCTGTTCTTCTTCTTCAGAAGGTAGAGTTGCTTAACGCAGCCGTAAGCGTCGTTGTCGACGTCATTCCACGCTACGACTCACGATTAGCCGGGCTATCGCTAGCGTTTCGATATCGTTGGTATGAAACCACTCCGAGCGACGTGCGAGGACGAGCGGTTTACTTACAGTCGTTACCGTAGTGCTTTTGGAGGTCGGCATAGGTGTCTGAAGAGAAGCTGTGACGTATGTCAGGCTTTGAAAAGTTAATCTACTTATCAAGTCGAGAGAGTCTTACACGGTCCCGTCGGGTAGAAGATTTGCGAACGCATAAAGAACCTGGTTCACCTGGGAAACCGGCAGCTGCGCTGGCTGATAGTCCCGCTCGTAGATGCCCCTGTGATAGCGTCAGTCGAAGGTAGGAGAAACCCCAGAATCTGCCGAACCAATTGGTAAAGTATACGATATTTTGGAAACCCGAGCTTCGCTTCTCCACTTCCACCACTGGGTCTGCCAGCCCTAGAAACGCCTGATGAAGCGAAGTTGCCAGGAGGATGTTCACTAGGAACATGGTTACGGAATTTTTTTTGTCTTTGGATAATTCTCTTCGTGGAGGTATTAATAAATACTGGCGGAGAAGGTTAGCTTAGTGAAGCATGAGCTTAGCTCTTCCGGGAACGATCGACATGTTATATGATATAGATAGGTAATGAATGGTTACTTTCGTACGGCGTGGCATGGAGAGACATCTTCTGGTCTCATTTTGATCTGTTTATCAAGAGATTCCGAAACTGGGCCACCTCGTTCCGATATTCAATCTCGGCTGTGGTCTCTGAACATAACCTCTATAGTAGATGTGAGAATATGGGTGTATCGGAACGGAAGTTGTACTTGTTTCTCCCTTCCTTTACTTTCCCTCCCTTACGAAGCAACCCTTATTTTACATAAATTGTTAACGTTGAAAATAGGCATATACTGTAGGGAGGGAGTCGTTCTTTATCGAGATATTTACTCGACATGATAAGCCATACTACAAGCCTTTAATACCTTGAACTAATGTTTCGTGATATTGGCCAAGAGAAAGATAGGGCGTCGAGCCAAGGCGAAGGGAGGACGACATCGAAGGGATAGACCCCTTATCAGCCGGTTAGAGGCCGCGCCCCGACAAAAACACCTGCTCCCCAATTGGGCCAATTTAGGTACGTTACGGCGCTTATTGTATCGAGGGGAGCCCTCTTCCTGGACTCGAGGACAAGAAATGGTCCTAATCGTTCCGAATTCGCCGCACCGCAGCAAATCTGTCACCATCGTCCGCTTCACGCGCACCTTACTGGTGGTATATAAGCTCGCACATAACAGATAGTCGCTCATTCCACGCAGAAATAATATATCACCTACTATGTCTTCACTCTGGTATGAGAAATTGCTCATTGCCATTGTTAGAGCCCTGTCAGGCGACGCTCTTCTGGCCCTTGTCAACTACGGCTATATTTCTTACTTTGCCCTTACGGATAACCTCCGATGGGGATTTACATCCCTCCTCGGTCTCGGCGTGGACCTCTGGCACCTCTTCATCTCCACCCCGAAGGTGGTTTGGAATTTTCTCGTCTTTCTTCTACGGATTCTCTTCGGCCTAGCCTCGGAAGGGGCAGAGCGTCTACCCACGTTTTACTAGCCTTAAATAGGACAGTACGCCGTCCTGGCTTTCGTACTTACTACGGGCGTCAACGAGCCCAGCATGTGGAGATGAAATATGCACGCGCGTCTTCCCCTTCGCTACATGACAGCCGCGCGATGTTTGTGCTGGCTAAGCTCTTTTCGTTTTGGCTACGGATGTGGCGGCAATGCTGCAGCCAATGCCAAGCAAGGATAAGCGAATAAAGGGAGGATAGGTTAAAGGAAGAACAGATGTTGGGGAAAAAATATAAAAAGAGAGGGTTATGTCACAAACCTATGCCAAACCCAGCAACCAATCATGGTTATACATCGGATCGTAGATGTGTTGACCTAAACACATCCAGTACGAGAACATATCCAAGACCATCCAGTATTTAGGAAAGACAGGGAAGAATGAATATATAAAGGAGGATCTCTTATTGTAGCGATCGGAAAAAAGTGCTCGCTCCGTTGATTCATCCATGCCCATGCCCAAAGAACGGTGGTGTTACCTGGTAGGTAGAATAGATCCTCGGGCCGACCTTCTTAGCTACTTCTAAACCCGGGCCGATGGCGAGTCGAACTACGTAACGCCTTCGCGCCAAGCAATGGTTCTGTTCTTAGACCCCTAGCTATTTGGGGTCGATAACATCTCCCGGGTAGAGAGCGAATCCGACGGTGATCCTCCCTTTCTTCGGTGGGATGCCTGCTTATCACATTAGTCTATTAGTTCGACAGCATTAGCGTATCCGAACTGCCGGGTCATCACGATGAATGATTGACAGCGAAGGGCTATAGTTGAAGGGGGTACATTTCTGCCACTGTAGTGCGAAATCTTCGTTCGTGCCAGCCGGGATCTTCGTTGCGACGGAGGCCATGGTTACGTACACGTGATAAATACTTGGGATGATGAACAAGGGGGGACTGAAATGGGGGAACTTGGGAGATGGGCTACAGGGTCACAGGGTCACATCTAGCCATCGATCGGATATGGTGAGGTACGAGTCAATAGAACGTCGCACCCAGGTAGCCACCTAGCCGAGCCACGGCACCTATCAGCAAAGTACCTAGGTAGGTATTTATATGTTTGGTTAGGGTTAGGAATGCGTTGCTTCACTCCTTGCGGTCCTACTGTCACTTATGTTACGTTCCAAGCTGCGGGGTAACACATATAATACAGAATTGGGGAACAGTGACCAACTGGTCACTGGGAAGCTTTTGCTTTATGGCTCAACTGGTTGTCCCCAAACTAGTTTGTGACAACTTACCTAGGTAGATACTTAGGTAGATATAAAACTTGTAAAGTGGCGTGACGGGAACAGCCACGTTTACTTATTAGGTAGGTACGTAAGAATCACCATTGTCGCATTGTAAGCAACACGTATAGTATACGAAGGTGAGAAATTAATAGGATTGAGTACCTAGGTATGGAACTATTATAGAATCATACAATATGATAACGTTTTATCCGCGTAAGAGAGATCCTCCATCGCCCCATAAAGATCCGTCTTGATGATCTGGCCAAAGGAATTGAGTGTAGTGTATTGTCGGGATACTCAAGATTAGTAACAGTTCCTTCCTGAGTGACGGTATTCCAAGGAAACCCGTCACGGTCCACGATGTTTGGGATCCCGGCCTGGACGAGGTGAATAGGGTTAGATTGTTCTTGTTACAGCATCCTTACGACTAGTCGAAGGTTGCCTACCTACCTAGTACTTAGGTAGGTAGGTATTTAAATAGGTATATAGGTGAAAATTTGTTCATCTCTAGCGAATTAACTACCTAAAAAAACTCCTGTTTGACGCCAGCGTTACACCTATTCCGCGAAGCAATCCCGACGTAAATCGGACGAACCGAAGAAGGGAGACGACGAGATCCCGGATCGCCATGGGAGTAGAGACGAGTATTTGCTGGATGGCAAGACCTAACCAGAAGAGGAATTCGTATGCCCAGCGCACACCTCTAGCGATCATCAAGCAACAAAGATAAGCGCAGGGTATCAAAACCAACCAGGCGGCCCAGGGGAAGGTCCAAATGGTAGTCATGAATTCGTGTTGATCCAAGGAGGAGACATGATTAATGGTAGCTGATAAGGTTGATAAAAGAGTAAAGTATTTGTAAGATATGAACAGGATGAGAATAAGACAAACCAAAAATGAGATTATATATATACTCTCTTATATATTCTTACCCATGTAGGTACCGCCGGGTAACCCTGAATCGGGACCTCATTCTATCAATAGTTTCAATGGCGGGGGGCCACGAAACTGAACTGGACCCAATTCAGGGATCGAGACGGAAGATAATATATATTTATACATATTCGCTTCAAAGCCCATTCCCTGACCCTATCAATCCTTAATTTCCTTCTCATTCCTCCTTGGAAATCATGCGTTTTGGCTTCCCGATTCCATTCTCCATTCTTTGGATGGTCGTCTCGGCGAGGTTCGGCCAGATACCACCAGCCAATATAAGCCGGGAACAGCTAGGAAAACGATCGATCATCGGAAGCATAGATGACAGCATCTCGACAACAATCTCTTCCTCGGATATTGCCATCGAGGTTATAGTTGATGTGCAACTCCAAAACGGCTCTGAATCCGGAGCTAACCAGACGACTGCCCCTTCTTCTACCCAGTCCTCGCTACTATTGGCAGCCCACGAGACCGCCGGGACCACAACATCATCGCTATGCCAAACAGACCTCGTCGGCCTTTCCTCTACTACCATCTCATCCTCATTTAATACAGCAACGACTTCGCGAGCCAAGACAACGCCTGTCGCCATCGTCCCATTTCCACTCTGCAATGCCACCTCCGTTCTCGAGCCTACAAGGACCATCTCGGCTTCTCGATTTTCCCCCTCCGACCCGGCGACATCGCCTGTCGTATTTATTGGCCGAGGTGTACCATCTTTGAATGTAAGTTCTGGGAACACTTTTCTGGTACTTTGTATACAGTTGGCGGTTTTCTTTCTTTGGTAACCACCGGTTTCTTCAGCCTAGGTTGGGTTAGGTATTCTAAATATCTAACGCCTACGGGAATGACGGCAGTCTCCATTTACTTGTTGCCGTTTAGAACACCGCAGCTACCAACAATATCGGCGATAATAGTATGTAACGAACCTATACCCTTGACTGGGTATAGCCGTTGCTAGATCAGCTGATCCGGGATGTCTTGATTTGAAGGTAACAATACTAGATGGATCCTGTTCGTCAGAGAGGCATGGAGTCCTCACTATGTCTTTCGAAGCTGAGAATAGTCTTAGATTGATAACTAAAGAACTATGAAGAGAGTGACTAGTTACATAGGAAATGCTTGTGGTTATATAGTTATTCCTCCTTCCTCTCTTCCTAGTATCTGAGGCTGTCGTGATCTGATTGATCTAACTGATCTATCCATACGATTAGATCAATTAGATCACCTAGATCATGTGTATGCCGTGGTTTAGCCGTGATTGGTTCGTGGCGCTCCTTCCATTTATGTCTTCTCGACCGTCTCCTTTCCAGTGGATTCTTCCCTAGTCCGTCCTTCCTTCCATTACGTGCTTCCCTTCACCAATGCTTCCTTTGGCTGAACTATACATATGGATATTAAAGTTCCTACGATCGTACTTCTCCCGAACTTGGGTGGCCGAGGTAGGTAAGGTGAGAAAGCGAAGTAGGGTAACTAGCAGAAATCATCGTAGTGTGATGCCGCCGCGAGCACGATCCGACTGTAAAATTTGGAGTAGCCCTACTACAGCGTCCACACCACGGCACCGGTCGCGGCCAAATTATCCGATGACGTGGGTTCGAATAGGCCGTCGCTTAACTTGATGGTATGGAAGTAGGCGACATCAGTGCTAAGCAAGCCGAGTGGCAGCCAGGAAGTACGTTCTTGTGAATTTGTACATGGCCATGGTCTCAATCTCAAGACGGGGCCCGCGAATTCAAAGGCAGGCGTATAAGAGAATATCTTGCTGGCGCAGCCGGTTTCCGCTACTACTACATACCTTTGTAATAAAGCCAACGCCTTAGTAATTAATTACTTGCCTTGACCTTCTTTTCGACCTCAACACGACCTTGCTTTAGGACCCGAATAACGTCCAAGGTTAGTACAAAACAAGGACCGGAAAAAACTATATTAAAAACTATATATTTTATTAAACCTTTCTTGATATATTCAATCAATTAACAACTAATTATAATAATCTGAATATTTTCATGATTAATAAATTATAATGGCTGATAATTCGAAACTTCGATTTCCAAATGAAATCAACACGACGATTGCTCGCGATATAGACGACATCGGTACGCTCGCTGTTGCTGTGCAGAATGAATTGCCGGTGCCGGATGACCTAGTCGATCGTGCTAGATTCAGTCATATATGGAACACGGTTTTCAATAAGAAGGATGATCAGAAAATCTTGAACAAGGCTATGGAGAATGGAGCATATATTTATTTAATCGGAAAAGATCTTCGTCATTTGTACGACGGTCTATATAAGATGCCTCCGAACGCGCCAGACACGTTACAACTGATATTAACTTGGCTACCGCCGCTTGAGGATGACATTACTTTGCGGCGAGAAGAGAAAATTTTTCAATACGAAATTAAAACGACGACATCCAGGGTCAATATACAAGTCCTGGGGTGGCCGTTATATAGGAAAGAATTGGAAAAGCATATGCCGTCTGTTACTAGAGATGGGGAGATCGAGTTTATCGCGTTTGATAATACAGGTGGTCATTTCTTTCCCCTCAATCCTGAGATGGCCATTAGACTATGTACCGTGCCTCCAGCTTTCGAGGAAGAATATCGAAAGAAATATGAGGCTCAGAGAAATAAGTAACCTATAATAACCTACTTCTCAGTAGGCCCATTATTAACACATCTCTTTCTATATTTCTCTTCTTCTATTTTCTCTTTCTCGGCGGCTATTTATTCCTCATAATGAACGTTAACTGAACTGGCTGTGGGTTAGATAGGGGTAGGGATGCGACGCAAAGATTCATGTACTTTCAAGGTTAATTGATTATTTGAAATGGTTTATTACCCTCATTAGGTACCTAGGTAGTTACAAGCTCATATGTCATTGAATTAAGCACATAATTGGTACATGCGGACACCAGTCGCTTAACCCGTACCGAACTAATGCAGCCCGATATGGGATCAACTGTCCAAAGCCGGACGCCTTGTTCAAGATACACAGTCGAAGCGTTCGGCGGCTGAGCTCAGGATATGTTTCTAAGTCTCTTTTGTTCGCGTGTATTGTCCAATCCATCAAAAAGCCAGGATCACCATTGGGGGGGATGTCGGCTTCCGACCATGGTCCGTCGGCCTTTCCAAACACCGTTAGGATGATCTTCTCCATCTGCTTGAGCTTGATCGATAGAAGGAGGGAGATCACATCCTGGAAATGGACCCGGATTATGAAGAGGTCGCTGTCGAAGTGGGTTGGCAGTATAGACGGCGGATCCGCGGAGGAATCAACGTCGGGACCCATGGTCAACCTGTCGGGCTTTTGTCTTAAGATGATATCCCGACTCTCCGCGCAGACACGCGAGAGCGGATGGGATATTCCAAAGAAATATCCCCTTTTGTATCGTATAGTTATACCCAATGGATCTTCGGATGCCATCGCCCAGATGAGATCGCGAAGCTCTTTGGGTAGGCAACCAAAGGATGGAAACCTATCCAGAGTTCGTACGAACGCCGAGTTTTGGGCACGTTCCATATAGGTTTATTAAATAGAAATGAATACAGAAATGATCACGACGTATATATGCCCATAATTGCGGTGATGCTATTTTTGTATCTGTAGATACATAGGCAAATAATTCAAATAGCTACCTAAATTGTTAAAGATAATATAGTATAACTTAGCAGCTAACGGGTAATTATCAGAAGCATAGTTAGAAAATCAGCTGCTCAATTTAGTGACTTCGTTTATTTATACGGAGGGATAAGGGATAAGCGACAATTCATTATGAAAGTACCGTTCCGGCCTACCTCGATTGATCCTCCCTTCGAACGTAACATGAAGGGAGAGTTTACTCCCTTCTTCCAACGAATCCATCGGCATTTAACGCTGGCCCAGTAGACTAGGCTCTTTTACTTAGGTAAGCATGGTGATTACGGCCATTGAAAATGGCGTCCATAGTGGTTTATGGCAGTAGTTTTTGCCTTATAATTTACGCCAATTGCTAAGCTTGCAATCGGTGTTTATATATGCTAACCTAAATTAGTAAACTTAGATACCTAGGTAGGTAACTACGTCGGTATACTATCTTAACTAAAAATACAATAAGCACATGGACAATTAACCTAACCTGATAAATCCATCATCATCATCTCATCCATATGATCATCTCTTACATCTCCAACCATTGACTCCGAATGAAGAAAACAATCCATGGCAGATAAAGGCAAAGGCACGCGTTTAACGGAGACGTTATAACCGTATGGGCTGACGCACAGTGTGGTGATCTGAGATTCTCCTCGGGTATCAAAAGATACTTGAGGCCATCGACACTGGTACCACGGATAAATATGGACGGTGACCCGGTACGTTTGGTTGGGCTTGATATCGACCAATTCACCGTACGGAGAAGGATCTTGTAACTCGGATATGATGGGATACCAGCTCTCGATGAAATCCTCCGTTGTCTCGGCTGTATATAGAAGAGATGGCGAGCCGGGTAACTCGAGGATGACTCGAAGGCCTTTCCACGGCATCCTGAACATGTTTAATACTTGAAATCGGAAAGGTGCCATTTTAGCGTCCTTATTCTAAGTCGTACCCTCTGTATTAGTAGAGGACACGAAAGATGATATACCTACCTAGGTAAGTAGATATGGTATCTTAGGGTTAAAGTGGGCTATGATGGTTTAAATATTTACATCATGATTTCGTCCCTTTTTTAGGAGACGGTTTTCTGCTTATTTAATATACCTACCGTGGTTGGTTTATGAACCTACTGGGACGAGATATGGGACTAAAAAGATCAAGATACGAAATGTTTGACTATTTAGGTACCTAAGTACGTGAATAGTCGTAGCATTTAAGAAGCAGGTAAGCGCCCACAACGAAGCAAACAACATAATAGTCTTCATAATGTACCTACCTACCTAAGTATACCACAACATGCATTTAGCTTCAAATATCAACCCCTATTTTCATACCAAGTTCCTCCCCGCAATACCAGCACCAAACATAGTACCGCCATTACCATTATCGCAACGACGTATGCTTCAAATCGTCGAAACCCCGGTGGAGAAAGCGCAGAGGGAAACCATTTGCTGGCTTCAAAGTCAATGTAACTCGCTCGGCGAAGAGAACATGAACCTTCGACAGCAGATTCTGGAGCTGAGAACTAAAGGAACGGAGACTACTGAAATAATCACACGCTTGTCGCAAGAAATCGAACAGAGGAAGAGAAAAGTACGGCATATCGCGGAATATGTTACCGGAGCATTCCGGGAATATATTGATGATCCGCGAAGTTGGTCAGCGAGGGAACACATGAGTGTGTACAATGTCATTGACGACATTCTTTCCATGTATATGTATACCGAATTATAGCTGTGCGGTCCAGCGTTATACAGTAACAAGAACAGGAATGATAACCTTCTTTCTTAAATTTTACGTTCCATATCATTGTACACTAAGGCAGGACTGAGCAGAAACATCAGAATACTTAGTGCATACCTACCAAGGCACCTAGGTAAGTAAGGTAGGTACCAAGGTAGAGGTCTCATCCCTTCTGTCGGCAGTCGATTCCAAATGAGCCGACAAAGGTGCTATCTCTTCACTTCAAGCATCAGGACGCAACCAATAACCTGATGCCCGAGATTTAGTCACGTATGATTTCTTGGTAAGCTGTCTTACCTATTTCAAATGCTCGAAATAGAATACCTACCTACTTACCTACATATGTACCTAAGGAGGTACGTACAACTTTAATAATCTTAGAGTCGGAATGTGTAAAGAACACCGCTGTTTTAGTCCACACAAGAGCCTCGTAGGCCCATAACGCGGCAAAACTGTCATATTGCGCCTCATAGTCCTAGTTATCGTCTCCTCTGCCTCTACCACGCGAGGACAAGAACGAGGCAGTGGTCTATTTTTGGGGTCGAGGACACAAATATGGATATAATATATATTAGTAGCCTAAGACGGATATGTGGTATACAGTAACAGATGCCCATTGACAAAACGTTCGTATGTATGTATAGCATCATAGAGCAGTCGGCATCTTCATTAACAACAACAACTGGGATACGTTTCTACTGGATGCTACCTAGGTATGGACATAACCAATCCATATACCTTCCTACATCCTCACGGTTGGACAAACTGCAGCCCGTTCTATTCCGCCACGGATACTCTATGTCCGTCCCTTCTGGACCCGGCAGGCGTCAGCGTGAACACGGCTATGACGCAGGCTGACTGTACCTGGGAGAGCCTGTTTCCCTCGAGTCCAGCTGCTGCCGAGAGCGAGTCTCCAGCGCAACGGGCAGATGGGAGCGACAAGGGGGAGGATACGCTATACCAATTCATCGACCCCGCGTTGCAGCCAAATCGAGAAGTCGGTTTCGGCGTCGGCAGAGCAATGGTCTAACCAGACTAGAAGAGGGACCTAGTGGGGAAACAGGCCTCCCCGGATGAACTAAGAGACCAAACGGTCATGTGACTATGTGACCATTAGGATCTGACACGTGACGGATCAATGGTGATCCAAGAGGACTAATCACTAGGGGATCAGTTGGATCAGTGATCCAAGTGATCATTGGGATCCAATATGGATATGTGTGGACTTAGAATATGTATTTAAGAAAGAAAAAAGACCTCCTAAGCGAAGGAGAGAGGCAGTTCTTTAGTTATTAATCTAAGATTATTCTTTCAGCTTGAATAGTGAGAGGACTCTAAGCCTCTCTGACGAATATTTCGCACTTGACCTACTACTCGTATTGTTACCTTCAAATCAAGAAACCCCGAATCTGCTGATTCAGCAACGAATATACCCGACTGGGTATAGGTTCGCCACATAGAATAGGGCGACGCCGTCGCTAAGGCTGTTAAGATAGTCGAGGGTGGCCTGAACGACGTAATATGCGAGACATAGGCGATGATGGAGAGAAGCAAGACGCTTCCAAGAGCAATGGCATACCACTCTGGGAGCTCCATCTCAACAGACGCTTGATGGTCACTTAGGAGGCGCTAGGCCAGCCAAGCTGGAATAAGGCGCGGTTAAATAGGACTAGAACAGCGACCAGAAAAGAGGCTCTAGGCATAGTCATACCTACCCATCTAGATACCGTGCTAGCGCAAAGTCGTCTCATCTCCGTGGCATTAGGATATACTTGAAGATTTCCATGTCGCATAGAGATTGCATGCATGAGGGCGTAGGATATCCCGAGCAAGCGAATCGCTCAAGGACGCTGTTGGTTTCATCTGCAAGAATACCTGTGAAAAGTCCGGAACGATTCGCCAATATACCCCGCCTTGCCTTTTTCATGTTCCTGACTTTGGAGGGAGGCTCTGTCCATATCGGTATAACATTGGGAGACCTGGTGTGTTGGGATTAGATGGAAGGGTCGAAGGAGGAAGCCGTCAGAAGCGCTTCTCAGTCATACACAAATTACAGGGCGACACGCCCTTTCCATTATGTTCGGGAACAGGGGATGAAGAGGGAAAGTTCTTAACGTAGCCTAACTCATATCGGGACATATATGAGAGCCGTGACACTTCAGTGCACGCTAACAGCCGTCCCTCGGAGATCCTTGGACTTATTGCTTTTTCTTATTAGCGATATTGGCGATCTGATGTCCTCCTGGCCGATGTGGCCTTTTCCAACGCTTTGTAAAATAAGGAACCTTAGTGCTGCGACCTTTTTCAAGGCCTGCCTAAGCAAAATTTGCGCGGAACCCGGCATAGGTGAGAGAGGCACGCAGGGTTATCGATGGAGAGGTGATATGTCCCGAGTAAGCGAGTGGCTCAGGGGCGCTATGTGACGAACCTATACCTGTGTCGGGGTATAGTCGCGCTGAACCTGCTGGTTCACTAAGTTATTGATTTCAAGGCAAACCGTACAGGTAAGTGATCAAGTGTATATCAAGGCGTCTGTTCGTCGGGGAGGTCAGAATTTCTCCCACCCCCTTCGGTGTAAGATGAAGCTGTAGTTTGTCTACATCATCACTAAAGTGCTACAGCGAAGCAAATTGTTATTGTCCACGAATAAGTCTCGGTAGACCTCATGTAATATGCAATGTGCTCCGCTCCATGGAATGTACGACATAGATTATTAAATCCATTAGAGTGGTTCACTGTAAAATGGTACAAAGCTTTGTCATGATCTCCTTGAGGCCGGTAGCTGCCTCGCATATCCTCCCCAGTCACCGCGCCAATACAGTTTCATTCCTGTCGTGGCGTCTTCACCTGGGCCCAATCTTTTTATTCAAGGTTCACTAGTGCTATAAATCGATGCAGAGAACGATCTGCCGGATCAATCATGGAGAATGATGATGGGTGGCTGGGATGTCTTACGACTTATGATTATCTAACTACTTAGGTAGGTATAGAGCATCAAACACCGGCTTTATGCAGATATTTAGTACCGTCAAAAGGAACCGCCTCACGATGATATTAAAATTATTAATAAAATTATACAAAGTAGATCAGGTGGCCCGCCGTCTAGATTGAGAATAGGATTCTGTTGATTGTGGTCAGAGATGGTTGATCATGTCACGACCCAACGTCCCCTATCGAATACGGCCTATTCATTCTTCTGTACCCAGAATCTAGGGAGATAAAATTGATTGCCGTTCATATGACCAGCAACCGGATCTATAGCCTCTAGACGCTCTTCTTATATTCTTATATTTGTTTTGAGAACGTCTCAGACTTATATTTCGTCTTGTTATCTGATGAAGACTGGCAATCGAAGAATCGGCAACTGGGTTTCGCTAGGCTAGCCGGTACTTCGGAAATGGATACGACATTTCTAGATCGTGTCCGGGAAGTGATCCGGGGGCTGCGTGTCCTAGAGCATGTACCGCATGTTTATCTAATGCAATCCGAGGAAGCATTTGTCGCCGTTACCTTCAAATCAAGAAACCCCGAATCAGTGGATTCAGCACGGCTACACCCAGCCAGGGTATATGTTCATCACAAGGACTCCAAGCCTCTCTTACGAACAGCATAACCTTTAATCCTATCTCTACGAGCACTGTTAAAACTAACAAAGAAAACCACGAACAACCCAATATATCCAGTCCAGGATATAGGTTCGTAATAAACCCCTTATATATTACTTTTATCCTTCGCGTACTTATAATAGTTTATCAACTCGACTAGAGTTATATCCCGAGTCATTCAGTCCCGACTAATTGACTCGTCCTTTACTATATATCGAGTCGCCGAGTCGGTCCCGTGACTATCTGTCACGTCATGTGTCTTAGGAGAGAAGCTTGTGTGGGTCGCGACAGTTCCAGGCCCTGCGTTTCTGTTGCTCCTGCATCGCCGTACGCACGTCTCACTAAAAAATTGGCTCGGCACACAATACCTTTAAGCCAGCTCGGATGCCAATCTTGTTGCAGAAGTGGGAGCTATAGCGAGTTAGCCGCCGATGCTTATGGTAGATGTACGGAATTTTACATTCGCTAACTCGCTTATCTTCGATGCCCACGTCGTTGCCGACAGGAACTCGACGGCACGGGAATCCGCTGGCCAGCGTTCTAAATCCTCTATGCCGACCGCGCCATCATCTTTCGGATACCCCTGCATCAATTCCATTATGACATTTCCCAGGTCTCTGATGTCCCTCTTAGAATCAGAAGTAGCGTGAGATTCTTCGCACCCCCCTTAAACGTTTAGCCGGCTAAAGAATAAAATAGGATAAGTCGAATTATAGCTTACATATCTTAACGGTGCCGTCAAAATCGACCAGGATATTGGAGCATGTTAATTGGCCGTGCTTTAAACCCGCTTTTTCCAAATAGGAGAGTCCATCGAGGATCTGATATGGGTTAATTAGTATTGGCTTAGAAATTGCATCTAGGGAAACTAACTTGGCCTATAATTGCTGTCAGATCATTTTCGTTTAGGAAGGGAAGTCTCAATTCCAAAAGCGATAAGGGCATATATTGGAAGACAACGGAATAGCGATTCTCGATAAGGAAGACTTCTTGCACTGCGAGGAAATGCGGGTGTTTAATTTTCCGGATAGCATCTATCTGGTCGCCACTAGCGAAATCTTTCATCATAAAAAGTCCCGAGTCTTTGCCCTTAGAAGTTATTTTTTTATAGTCTAGCACCGTGATGCGTCGTTCGACTCCGAGCGTTAGTTCGCCGATCTTCTTGTACCACTCCTCGGGCTGCTCGGGAAGTTCTGGGATAACGTTTCCTACTCGGGCACTACGCTTCAAGTGTTTTGGCGGAGGTGCCGCGGGGGAATCGCCAGGGTGTCTCTTCTTTCTGAGAAGCCCTAGAGTGTCAGCTTTAAGCGAGGGCGCGCCACCGCCCCCTTTATGATCAACTCTGGCCTTTTGAGTGGTCGGTGGAGGAAAGCCTTTTGGATCGCTGCTAGGCGCTGCTGGTGGTTGTAATGGATCAACGCAAGGCCCGCCGCCGGGAAACCTGGTAAGGCGATGATCTGTTGCCATGGCAGATTGCCGATTGAATTTGGGTGGACATTTCAATAGCTAATAGCAGTTCAATTTAAAGGCCTATCATAGCGAGGACCTTAAAGCAGGAATGTCGCGCCAAATTTGAGGCTTGTTCCGGGCCTATTTCCGGGCTATGGATGCTGGAATGTCAGGTGGGAGTCTACGCCCTGTATCTTAAGGGTATATAATATACTGCTACGAACCAGAACCTAATTCTAGTAATTTAAGCTCTTAATATAGAATAATAACTTGCGTCTATTTTAATAATGGATTCCGCGAGAACTACCGTGTTGTCCAAGTCGTCGGACAATTTCTCGTTCGACATTTTGGCCCATCGATTCGATCATCATCAAGCCACAGGCCGGCATCATCAAACGATCGAGAGGATCACAACCGAGAATATTCTTCTATATAGTCTTATCGCCGTCTATCAGAAAAATCAGTCAAAGTCAGCCAATATCTTAAAGCAGGCAGAGAGAGAACTCGCGAAAATGGAAAAAGCAATCCAGCATTACGGTGACGAAAAAGTAGCTGCCGAGCAGGATTGGTTGGCATTTTGGGGAATCGAGAAAGTCCCCGTTACACCTAACGGCTGGATCTAAAGGAGAATATTCGAACAGTTAAATATCAATATAATTAATTAAGATATGCTTATTATATATTGATCCCGCTGCGGCTAATAATCCTAAGAAGTCCTTTAGTATATATAGATAATCATAATTTATATAAGTAATTTAATCGAAAGAAAAATAACAAATAATATATGTTAATATAAATATATTAATCCGATAGGTCCGTCATCGTCTCGTCTCTATTCTCTTCCGTGATATCATTGAAAGCCTTAAAATCCGAACCAAGGTGAGAATGCTTGAATTCTTCATCCCTACTCAGCATATCCATAGTCTTTGCCAGACAATCCATAGCAGATAAGGGCAAAGGTTCTCTCTTATGATCGGATAGGGAAACTTTATAACTATCTGGGCCGAGACAAAGCGTAATGAGCCGAGATTCCCCGCGAATATCAAACGAGATCGAAGGCCAGCGGCTCTGGTCCCACGGATTCGTGTACACAGTCACCCGCCACCTCTCGTCAGGATTTATTCCGACCGATCTTTTCCAGGGGGAAGGGTCTTGTAATTCGGACATCACAGGGTACCAGGCCTCGATCGGCTGTTCCGTCGTCTCGGCCGTGTACGCGAGGGACGGCGAGCCGGGCAGTTCGAGAAATACCGAGAGCCCTTTTAAGGGCTTTCGAAATACGTTTAGCACTTGGAGTCGGATAAGCGCCATCGCGATAATCGTTAGGAAAGTTCGAACCTATCCAGTAATATCAAAATGAAAGGATAGCGAAAAGGCACGAATAAGCTCTTATATGAAACCGTAGTAGACGCGCCGACATTCAAGGTTCGGGTCTTCCGTCTTTTCAACCACAAAACGCGCCCCTCTTTTTGGTTTCAAACGGGGACAGAATTCAACTCCCTTGGGCACGTTGCGCGGTATGCCAAATCTTGCACAGGGCCTTTTTAACGGCGCGAGAACAAGATATGGGCAATCAAAGCCTGAAACAGGCTATAATTATGGTGAGAGGCTATCTAGGAATCTCCGATGTGTACGACCGTTTCTAGGCTTCCCCTAGGGAGCAAGATATAGGCCTGGGCTGTTCGGCCACATGTCATCGCTTTAGGCTCCTAGAGCCGGAATCCCATATAAGAAGCCATGATACGCATCTCGTCTCGTAGTAAGTGGTATAATAATACCATATTCTGCTATACGTCGAACACATAATCACCATGAGCATCGAAACATACAACTCCGAAATCGAGGAAAGCGAGGTCGAGGGTAAGTAGCGTGAGCCGTCGTTCCATATGTTCTGATATTAGGGCTAATAATCTCTTATCTCAGAGATAGAGTCGGACGAAGTGTCGGACGACGTTTCCGATAGCACCGGCAGTCTCGCAAACTTTGTTGTGCCAGATTCCGACGTGGACGAATCGGCGGATCAGGATCCTTACAGATTAACTGCCAACTTAGCTCCAGTAGTCACCGCGATTCTAGGGCTCCAAAGGTGTATGGGCGTACTGCGTGACTCGGTGGAATTGCTATGTAAAGATATTAATCGACTGTCCGATCGATTAAGGACAGGTCCGGTCGGGCTCGATACCGGCTTTAGCCAAGATGGAGCAATGGAATCCAAAGACGAACACGTTGTTGATTAACTTAACGCCTAAAGAGGCACGAATCGATATAACTGCTATGACCTACTCTTACAATATTATATAAACCACCTTGTATCACGTTTAATCCGTAATTATGTAACCAAAATGGTCTTATATAATTTAAATGATTATTATTATGTTGTAAGCTATTTTATATTCTTTTAATTTCATTGCCTACTATATAAGTGATATTATATTATAATCCAGTGGGATAGTAGAATGTCTATTTTTAATATATTTATATAACTTACTATTAAATACCTATATACATCCCCGTTTTTTATAAAGCCCATACAATCTTGTAAACATAGATAAGTAAAATACCATTCATATCTCTGCGGTACTGTGATATGCCCTATCCATTCCTTGCTCTTATTGTTACTTTTATAGCAGTGGATTTGGATTATTCGATAAAGCTATACTAACTGGTCGAGAAATATGTCTACCATCTTACAATCCATTTTAGAACAAATAAAATAAGCCAAGATACCATTAAGCCTCTAGTTAATATTCTTCCACAGCCGTAAATAGCTGTTAAATATGCGTAAGAGAATATCTCTAAGCTCTAATTAAGGACGGAATATGCCATTATTATAATATTCCTTATCATATAAAAATAGGCCTCTTTTAATAGGTTAAACCTTTAATATCTCTTAAGACCACTGTTTATTTATTATTATTATTGCTGTTTTTATTATTTAAATCGCCTCATACCGGATAAATTTACTAAGCATTAAAAGGGCAATAGCTCCGAAGGGACGGCTAAGTTCGTGGATAAGCATAATAATGCAAGATATAGGACCAAGGACTTTGTGATAACCCTGTTTTGGGGTATGCCGGTGTTATTTTTTCCTTCTATGCCTTTGTAAGTACTGAGGTAGCTATAGTTATAAAAGCATTTAGTTATATTCGTCCTTTAAGGTTAATAATATTTACAGATAGCTCCCGGTTCCTTATAATGGGAGAGTAATTATTCCGATGGCTTGAGACCGTATTAGTGAAGGGCATGATGGTCCATCTTTGTGGCCTACTATATATAAATATTCCTCTATCGTTAGATTGGATCGCTCGTATTCCACTCGTTACGCCCCCCCCCTTTAAGGCCTGAAGCTCGAGTACTAGGTAGTTATATCATCATCTGCACCATACCTTCACCAACATGCATTTACTTCCACATTGTACGACAACTATCATAGCCATAGCCGCTCAGTTTATGCTTCTTGGCCATCTTATCAAGTTGGTTGCGTGTACACAGACCACGGTCGGATTAGAGGAAGGGCCTAGCAACGCCCGCCCCGCCCGCCGCGACACGGAGGTCTCGTCCAGCCAGTTCAGCCTATCTTTTATAAATAATTAGAAGGAAGGTTCGGTTGTGGCTTACGTATCCGGACAAGACAGCGCGGGATCCGTTGTCTTTCTCACTTCGAACGGAACCTGGCATTCCCCCGTCTCCGTGCCTAACGCCGGCTCTCAGCGAGTGGATTTGGAACGTGGAAGTGTTGTTCAGATCTGTTGATGTAGAAAGTTTGCGGGTAATGCTGGAAGCGACTAAATTCCGCGTCACAGTCCTCTAAGAGTCTGTCTCTCGCCGCCCGGATATCATCTATGCTTTGCCACCGCGTAAGTGGGATGCGTCTTTTGTCAGGGTGAACAAGCAATATAGCCTTCTTATAGGCGGCTTTGATTTGAATCCCATCGTAGCGACCGGGTTGCAGCCCTATGGCATCAAATGGGCTGTATATTGATTCCATTGTATTGAGGAATGAATGGTTTATTTCCATTATATATTAAATATCCTTTTAAAGGATCTTCTTATTTTCCATTATCTATGCCTCTGTAATACCTATATTAAGTTATTATGACCTTTAAATGATAAAAGATATATATTTCTAGTTATATGTAATATAATGAACCCCTTTGCACGGTAGTCTTGGATCCTAGTTGTGATCCAATCGTATCCGAACCTTATCCCTTTATCCCTTTGATTCTAGGCTGGCTGATGGCCGCGACTAGTCAACTCTCGGGTTAATGTTAGGAGATACTAGCATTGCCAGTTCAACTGACCCATCTAAACCTGCAAGTGGTGATGGATGGTCTGAGCTGATAACATCCTTACTTCTAGGAGCCTGCGTATAGAGAACCAGAAATAAACGGAGCATAAGTTCATAAAGCCTGCTTTTATGGTCCGGTGTTGTTTGTGAAGGTGCGGCCGATAATTGTTCAGATAGGAAAATAACATGGCTCAGGCCAGCCCTCTCTCTTTCAAGACAACCTGGTATATAGTTATCGGTGGTTATCGACCCTTGAATTATTGGCGAGTTTGGAGGGGTCAGTGGAGGCGAAGGACATTCGGCAGGAATTGATATATGATTCATTGTAC